GCATGGATTGAGGGTGGGGGCTGAGGGCTGATTTCTAGAGCAAGGCCCAACCTCAAGGGTCCTGGGAGGGTCTGGGGTTCAACCAGTGTCACTCCTCAGGCTCCAGGTAGAATCCTAAGGATGGCAGGGCTGGGGGTAAGATGTCCAAGTACGCCTCTTTTAAAAATATATTTTTATTGATTTCAGAGAGGAAAGGAGATGGAGAGAGAGAGAGAAACATCAATGATGAGAGAGAATCATCGATTGGCTGCCTCCGGCACACCCCTCACTGGGGATCAAGCCCACAACCCGGGCATGTGCCCTTGACTGGAATCGAACCTGGGACCCTTCAATCCACAGGCCAACACTCTATCCACTGAGCCAAACCAGCTAGGGCCAAGTATGCCTCTTTTACACCCAGTCTCCGAGGGGGTGCACCCACCCTTGGAGCCAAACATTCTTCCCCTTTTAATCTCTGGCCCAAGAATCCCAAATCCGAATCACAGAAACCCACACCTCTTCCCCCACACGTCCCCGTTCCCAATCTATAGAGAGGATAATGAGCCCAGAGACAGAAAGGAACTTGCCCGAGGTCACACCGCAGCTCAGAGACAGAACCAGACGCAAACTCTGGGATCCTGGCTTCTAGTACAGGGCTCTGTCCACTCAGCTTCTGCTATGAGTGGCCTGCGCCCCTATTCTGGGGACAGCCAACCAGCCCCTCCCCCAACGCACATCTACACACCCCCGTTAGTCTTTCCTGCTTCTGCCCACATCAGCCACATCCTTTCCTGTCCCCATAACAACTACTGGCAACTCCTGGGTGACAGGTCAATTCCCCAGTGGCTACACAGGTTGCAGGAGAGTGTCGGATGTAGGCTCCCGGTAACAGCTGCCCTGCATCTGCATGTCTGACATGTGCTCCCAGGCCAGGTCACCCTCCCGCAGACCTTATCCGGCAGAGGGAGATGAAGTGGGTGGAGATGACTTCACACTGGGAGAAAACCATGTCTCGCCGGTACAAGAAGGTGAGAGGGCAGTGGCCCACCCGGCCTCCTTGGCTCAGCACCCTTTGCCTTGGTCCAGGCCCAGGCAACATTTACCCCTCCTGCGTCCCACACCTCCTGCCTTTTCTCCCGACCACCCAAAGTGGCCCTTGCCCCATGACAGGCTGTGTTTGGTGCCTGCTCAGAGGAGCAGGGCAGGCTGGGGGGCTGGCCTACTGGGGTCCCTTGGCCTCCCCCACAGGTAAAGATGCAGTGCCGGAAAGGCATCCCCTCGGCCCTGCGTGCCCGGTGCTGGCCCCTGCTGTGCGGGGCTCACGTGTATCAGGAGAACAGCCCTGACACCTACCAGGTAAAAGCGTGGGCAGGGGTCCTACTTCCCCTTCCCGGAGCCCCTCGCCGCTCTGAGCCCTCACATCCACCTTCCTTCCCACCCACAGGAACTGGCTAAGGCCCCAGGAGATCCGCAGTGGATGGAGACCATCAGCAGGGACCTGCACCGCCAGTTCCCTCTGCACGAGATGTTTGTGTCACCCCAGGGGCACGGGTACGAGGCCAGTGATGCCCAGGGACCCCGGCCTCACAACCCCAGGCATTTGGTCGAGCCACACCCCCACCCCCACCCCTGCTCCCCCAGCGTCAAGTCTTGCATCTCAGGGGATCCAGCAAGGCCAGGGTGGTGAGGTCTGGGCAGAGGCTGCCAAAGGTTGGGGAAGGGATGCCTAATGGGGTCTTCTGGCACAGGCAGCAGGGGCTCCTGCAGGTACTCAAGGCCTACACCCTCTATCGGCCGGAACAGGGCTACTGCCAGGCCCAGGGCCCTGTGGCTGCTGTGCTGCTCATGCATCTGCCCCCCGAGGTGAGTGCCCCTGACTCTGCGCTAGGGACCCGAGACCCTGACCCCCCAACCCCACTCACATTGTCCCCAACCCTAGTGACCCTGGGCCCTTGTAGTCCTGGGCCCTGGACCCATGACTTCCTAACCCCAGGTTCTCTGACCTCAGGGACCTGGGATCCTTGCCTCCCAGATCTGGTCCTAGTGATCCAGGGCCTCATTACTGCCAACCTCAGTGACCTTCAAGCCCAACAACCTTGACTCCAGTTACCTTGCTCAGTGACCTCGGAGTCTGGATGTTATTACCTTGACCTCATGATGCCCAGTTCTTTTGTTGTTGTTTCTGTCTGTTTTTTGTTCATCCTCACCTGAGGATATTTGTCCCATTGATTTTTTTAGAGAGAATGGAAGGGAGGAGGAGAGACAGGGAGAGAGAAACATCGATGTGAGAGACACATCGATTAGTTCCTCCCGCAAGCGCCTCGACCAGGGGACTGAGTGTGCAACTGAGGGACGTGCCCTTGACTGGAATCGAACCCGGGACCCTTCAGTCTAACCACTGAGCCAAACCAGCTAGGGCCCGACTCCTGGTTCTGAACCTTGCAAACATGATCCCTTGACCCAATGACTCCAAGAACCCAGTACTTGAACTCTGAGCCCCCAACCCTTGACCAGTGAGCCCCAACCCTGTGACCCTCAAATTCAAACACCCTGAGCTCTGTGACCAAATCATGGGTAGCTCTCTCTCTGGGCACAGGCAGGCTTTTGGTAAAAGCCCCCCAGCACTGCGTTCAGGCTTCTGGCTTGAGCCACCACAGATGGTGTCCAGGGCTCCCCTGCACCCCTTCCCCCCCCTGCGGTCCCCTTGGTGGTGGGCACTCACGCCCGGCTCTGTCCTCAGGAGGCCTTCTGGTGCCTGGTGCAGATCTGCGAGCTTTACCTGCCCGGCTACTACGGGCCCCACATGGTGAGAGGCTGAATGGGGCCAGAGGCACAGCTGGGGGGCTGGGCAGGCGGGTGGGGGCCTGGAGGGAGCGGAGGTACTGACGGATGTGCCTGCAGGAGTCTGTGAGGCTGGACGCCGAGGTGTTCATGGCCCTGCTGCGGCGGCTGCTCCCACGCGTGCACAAGCACCTGCAGCAGGTGGGCGTCGGCCCCCTGCTCTACCTGCCCGAGTGGTTCCTGTGCCTCTTCGCCCGCTCCCTGCCCTTCCCCACTGTGCTGCGTGTCTGGGACGCCTTCCTCAGTGAGGGTGAGTGGGGACTGCCAGGCGGGCGGTGGGGCCAGGGCTACAGCCTTGGGTGCTCGGGGCGCAAGGAATGAAACCGCCAGCTTTGCTCTGCCCTGCCCGCTCTTGCCCATCCTGGCCCTGGGTCTGGGTGCCCGGGTGTGCTGAGGGTGATGGTGCCCTGCCAGCTCTGGGGAGACAGCCCAGCCCCCGGCCACGCACTCCCAGTGTAATGAATGGTCGCCCCTGCCCTGTGCGGTGAGACCACTACAGGGAGGGCAGCCTCTGCCAGGGCGGGGGCCGGGGGCCGGGGAAGGCTGGACCAGGGAGGCTCCCTCTAGGCAGATGGGACAGGAGCCATGCAAGGGCTCAGGGGCTGGCACAGCGGGGACATGGCCAATGGTCGAGGCCCTCACCCTGGAGCCCAAGTGCCTACTTGGTGTGTGCTCACTAGTGCCAGGTGCTGCCCTGTACACTGGGGCCACCTGTGTGAGGGGACCTACATTCTGGGGGTGGGGATGCAAGGCTCCTGTAACCACATTTTTGTTTTATTTTTTAATATATTTTTATTACTGCTTTCAGAGAGGAAGGGAGGAGAGATAGAAACATCAACGATAAGAGAGAATCATTGATCGGCTGCCTCCTGCACACCCCACACTGGGGATCGAGCCCACAATCTGGGCATGTGCCCTGACTGGGAATCGAACTGTGACCTCCTGGTTCTTAGGTTGCTGCTCAACCACTGAGCCACGCCAATTGGGCTATTTTTTAAATTTTTAAAAGTGTTTATTGTACTTTTTTATTATTTATTATTTTCATTTTTAATTAATTAATATTTTACGCAGGCAGGACTCTGTCCACAGGGTCCAGGCTACACATGACTCGGGCGGGGTGTGAAGAGGGGTGGATGCCAGGGCCAGGCCACGAGTTGGGGAGTCGGGGCAGAGCCCAACCGGACTCCAGGTCTTTGGGGCTCGGCCTCCCTTCTCCCATCAGTCACCTGCCTGCATTCTGTCCATCTGGGTTGTCCAGCAGTTGCACCTGAAAAATGGTAGAAATTCCTCAGTGCTTTGAGCTGCTGTGTGCCCGGTGGGCTCCAGGCTGGCTTAGAGCTCTGGCCGTGGTGTCCAAGTTGCCATCTGTGGGCCTCCTCCCCTCCCGCTCAGCCGTCCAGGGCGGTGTGGCTGAGCGATCCTTGCCCTCCCCATTGAGGACAAGCCCTCCCTGGGCTCCCTTCATAGTCACTATCATCCCTTCACAGTTGTCGCTAGGCCGCGCTGGTCCCCTGAGCGCTCTCCTTAGCAGACCCGAGGCTGCCTGGAAGGGAGTCGAGGATTCTGGGGCAGCCCATGGTCACACCTGTGTCCACGCGGAGGTGTGCACGCACATGTGCGCTGTGCTCTCGGCTTAGGGAGGAGCAGCTCTGGCCAGAATCTCTCTGGAACCAGAACAAGCTGGAAGGGCCTGAATGGGAACCCCTGCCCGGCCCAGCCTTGTAGGAACACAGAGCTGAGACCCAGAGAGAGAGAAGGCTTTGTGTGAGGTTGTCAGTCCTCCCGGGCTCCTGGCAGGTGCTCTGCCCGGGAGCATCTGTGGCTGCTGAGACATGCTCACCAGTGACCCCAAATTGCACTCCTCTTCGTCCTTGCTGCTGGCCTGGGTTGTGTATAGAGTTTTGGGGTGTGTGTGGGGGGGTGTGTGGAAGGAAGCTGGGGAGAGGGCAGCTTCACGTGCAGGTTCAGGAGGGATGGGCTGGCCCCACTGAGTGAGCCTGGTCTGCAGGTGTGAAGGTGCTGTTCCGTGTGGGGCTGACGCTGGTGCGCCTGGCGCTGGGCACCGCAGAACAGCGCCTGGCCTGCCCGGGGCTCCTGGAGACACTCGGTGCCCTTCGAGCCATCCCCCCCGCCCAACTGCAGGAGGAGGTCTTCATGTCCCAGGTGGGTGCCCCCTGCCCACCCTCCCCTGCCGCACAGTCGGGGAAACTGAGTCGCAGAGCCGGAGTCATAGTGAGAACCAGTGCTTAGTTCCTGCCCTCTGAGCACAGAGAATGTGAAAACCCCAGGCCTCAAGCGGCTTGCTATGACTCCCTCTGAGCCTGCCAGCCCCTCAGCCCGCAGCCACTTCCTGGGGCTGTGTACTGCCCGCCCTACGGGGACCTCACGGCTTCCTGCCTTCCTGCCGTCCAGGCAAACTCAGTACCAACTGCTCCCCGCAGGTGCACAGCGTGGCCCTGTCGGAGCAGGACCTGCAGCGGGAGATCAAGGCCCAGCTGGCCCAGCTGCCAGAGTCGACTTCCGGGCCACCTCCTCGGC